AAAGTGAGGACACACAGGTAAGAAAATGAAAATCATATACTATCCCAGCCCCTGGAGAGAACTGCCGTTCATATTTTAGCTTCTGTTGTTCCAGTTTTTTATTTGTTGCATATTTTCTCCCTTAAAAATAGAATCATATAAGATTCTGCACCCAATTCATGTGCATGTTTTTTTTCCCTCACCAACAAGCAATTCTCTGACACCAACTGAGCCTCCTACAATTCAACTAATTCTGACATAATCCATTCAGAGATAGCAGCAGATTTTACAGGCTGAGGGTTCAGTCCCGTAATATTGCCCTCTGCTTCAGACGCCAATTGCAAGTCCAAGTTGTTATTTGTGTGACTGACTGACTGATTATATATCAGAATTTCCCATGGCCTCCTCTTTGGGTTCCATTAATTTGCTAGAGTGGTTCAGAGAACTGAGGAAACTAGTTTACTCACTAGATGACCAGTTTATTACAAAGGATATTAAAGGATACGAACCAACAACCAGATGAAGAGGTACATATGGTGAGGTCTCGAAGAAAAGAGCTTCTGTCCTTGTGGAGTTCGGGGCCCACACTTGCATGTGGAAGCATGGTTGTTTACCAAACTGGAAGCTCTCTGGACTCCATCCTTCTGGGTTTGTTAAAAAACAAAATCCACTGAGTAAATTTTAAAGATCTTATTGGCTTTACTGAATGATTCACGAATTGGGCAGCATCCCATCTAGCAGATAGAAAGGAGCTCCAAAGAGCTGTACAGAAGGAAAGACTTTTATAGGCAGAAGGGAGCAGGACAAAGAAGTTACTAGCAAAGATTGTTTGTAGCAAGGCCTCTTCGTTTAGTGGCAGGCAGAGGTCAATCAGGGAAATTACCTCACTAAACCTGACCTGGTAATTCCAGATTGACTGGTTTCAGATTTCACTTGTGGGAGAGGTTGAAACTGTAATTCAGTTAGGCATTAAATCTCACTTTGATGACATGGGTTTAGCGCATGTCACTCCAATTTGGGCCGGTTGTCTCTTTTGAACAATTCCCTCCTTTTGATCAGCCTCTGAGCTTAGTTGGGAGATGTGATCAAAACATAAGGCATTAGTGCCACTCCCAGCTCCTGCTCTGAAGTTCTCACAGTTTTTGCTGATCCTCTGTGTGCTATTCGTAGGTCGTGATGTTTTTTGCTGAATCTCTGTGATATTCACGGGTCCCGACTTTAGGTTCACATTTTTTAAGTCAGTCATTCTCTTCATCCTTTTTCCGACATTCAAGTGTCAGGGAGATCATCTGTTTGGTGGTTAGCAGATGTGAACACGCATTTAAAGCTTTTCAGAGAATACAGCGCACTAGGGAGACTACTATGATTATGAGAAGAAGGATAATTCTCAACGTCTGCCGTGCATTTCAGACCCATGGTCCCCAAGACCCCAACCAATCAAAATCAAATAAGTTAAAGAAAGACCTCATTGAAGGAGTCACTTTCATAAGCTAGGTGGCTTGTTCAGTGATCTTATGTAGCTGTGTCAACTTTCCCAGAAGAGTTAATCCAAGGTGCAGCAAGCAGTGTTTACCAAATCACAGACACCGCCTTGTTCAGCTAAAGGATAATCAAGGGCTATTCTATTCTCAAGAACAATCTTGGTCAGAGTGTCTAGGGGATTTTGTTGGGCAGTTATTGCTTTAGCAGCAGATGCTGCAATATCTCCAAGAATTTAGTAGAGGTTCCTGATCATAGCCTCATTTGCTCTTACTCCTAGCCAGGGGAGCAGTGATCTACTAAAGGAAGCTAATTTTGATTCATGAATGCCTCCTGGTAATTCCTGTTTGAATCTGTATTTCAGGACTGAAAAAGGTGACATCTATGAAAGCAGTAATATTTAAGGGTCTGTAGACCACACAGGTGATTTTATTCTGATTACCCTTGCTTTGTGTCCCTTTCTTTGGGTAGAGCCTGGACACAAAGTTCCCAAGTTTGGGGTTGTTAACCAGAGACACGGAAAAGGACTCCCAGGCTTAGGAAGTCTGATACAATAGAAAGGGGGCTGATTTTTTTTTTCAGAGAACATGCATTGGAAATCAGGGGGAATTTTGCGACAGGCAGAACTATAGAATTACCAGAATTGTGGCAAGTCCAACAGTCATTTGGAGGTTGGATTATCCCCCTTTGTAATGATATCATTATCTTTCTAGGCCAGAGCAAGACAAAAGGTGGATGCAAGACTCACAAGGACCTTCATGGTATAAGAATTAGGAAGAAGATGGTCAGAGAGGGAAGGAGGAAGGGAAGGAATATTCCTGATCTGAAGCCTTGGGAGGAAGTAGTCTACCTTGATATCAGCTACTTCTCTTCCTAGTCAATTTGACTTTGAGTTCTCCAGCTGGTGTGCAGTTCCTAGAGGAAGAGGCCTTTTTTAACTGGGAGATGTGGAGCCCTTTTAATTGGGAGTTGTGGACCCAATGTTCGAGACTCTGAAATTTGGCTGCCATCTGCGTAATAAGGTGGACCTGGTATAGTCCCCTCCAAGGAGATACAAGGCCAGACTTCATTCTTAGTGATTCCAAATAAGAAGGGTGGGAGAAAACTGGAAATATTAGTTTGGAGAGTTGTATCCAGATAGCTGAGGAAACTAGAAGAATTCAGGATAGTCCAGCTTACAGGTATATAACAAAAACTCAAAGACTCTATAATCCCCCCAATTTCTTTTTTACCAAAGATAATCACAGTAATACTTTTTTTTTTTTTGCATCAAACTTGGTCTCATTATTTACATAACTGCATCAAGAATAGTGATTGACCATATAAGCTCTTTTTAAGACTGCTTTGCTGGAACTTTTCATAAGAAATCTCAGATTTAACTCTTAAAAGCCTCTGTGGTCAGGAGGCCAAACCAAAGACTTGTCATCAGATTTTACCTGCGATGCCTATAGTTTGGGTGAATTCCTCTCTTCTGAAGGTCCTCAAAAATATCGCAAGGGTCCTAGGCCTGCCAGGAAGTGACCTTCCTTACTCACCTGGTAAGGCTGCAGGGACCCCTATAAGCAAGATATAAGGCCAAATTTTCCAGGAAGTTGCGTGAAGATGTCTGGTCATATCTGAGTCTATGTACATCTGTTTGAAATATGACATTTCAGTAAAAGCCTTGGTAAAAATGCCAATGTTTCCAACCATGTTCTGTTACAGGGAGAACAGATTCTTATTGAACTTATGCAATTAACTGAGTATATTGTTATGAAAAGAATACTCAAGAGTTCCCAAATTCTGGAGGGATCAGGTAGAGAGAAAGTAAACGTTTCATCTTTGTTTACAAAGGTATAGTTTACCAAATTGCTATAAATCATAGATAGCTTAAGAGAAAAGGTTTCCTTAAACCTTAGAAAACAAAGCATTAAGCAACTGGCAATGTTTCAAACAAAAAGTTACAAAAAATTATAATCTTCTTCTTCAATTCATTCAGTCCTGTGTAATTAACACTTGTTCTATTTGAATACTAGTGATGTTGAACTATTTTTCCTTTTTTTGGCTTCCTGTGTGTTGTCTCTCTCACGCTCTGAGTTCTGCTGAACCCGTTTGCAGCATATGGGCCTGGAGTGGTTCCTCCCTGAGGGCCTGTGACTGAGAGTGGTTCCTGGAGAATTCATACATTCATTCTCTCAGCAAATAATTTTGATATAGCCAGACATCTAGCAACCTCCTGATGCTTCTTCTAATGGAGCAGACAGATTAATAATTACATAATCATGTAAATTATAAAATTATAAATGTCAACTGCAAAAAGAACAATAAAGGAGAGGTACCTGACGTCATAACAGAATCCAACAGGAGCAGTTAGTCCAGTGAGGAGGGGGAGGTTATCAGGGAAGGCTTCCTGAAAAAATGATCAATGAGTTGAGATCAGAAGGGTGAAGAGTAATTTACTTAGTGAGAAAGGACCATTCCAGAAAGAGGGAACAGCATGTGCAAATTTCCTGTGGCAGGTAGAAGTAGACAGTAAGTGAGAGAGAATGAGACAGACGGAAGCGGCCAGAGCAGAAGGAACAGAGGGCACCTGGAGTGAGCTGAGGATGGGGACATTGCAGGGGCCATGCTGCACAGGACCCTGGTGAGGACTTTGTCTTTATCTGGAGACTGTTAGGAAGCCAAGGAAGAGTGAGCAACAGGAGGCTCTGCTGAGGAGCGCCCATTGGAGTCACTGATGTGGAGTGTTTGGTAGGGCTGTGAGAGCTGGTTTCCTGGAGTGGTGGGGGCAGCAGCCAGACTTAAAGGCGCTGGAAACTAGGGGGAGAGGAAAGGAGGACACAGGAATTTTTACAATTTTTGAGAATGTTTTTCAGAATTCTTTGGTTGTAAACAACAGAAGCCCACTTGACCAGGGTTAAGTGGAGAAGAGGAAATTATTTAAAGAAAACAAAGGTGGCAGAGACGGGGCTGGATTTTACTGTCAAACAGGAACCAGAAATTGGGAAAATGAAGTGTATCCAAGACTCTCATTCTTGTTCTGTCTCTCTGTCTCTTCCCTCTACTTTTCTCTGTGCCTTTTTATTCATTCAACAAATACATACTGAGCACTGGTTCTGTGTCAGGCACTGGGCTAGGCTCTGGGGAGCCCTACACACTCTTCATGGCCCCACCGTCATGGAGCCTGCCTTCTGTCCATCTGCGTCTTCTCCTCTGGTCACTTTGTAAGTGACGTGCCTGAGGCCAAATGGCTAGTAAGTGGATGAGCTGAGATTTGAAACCAGACAGTGTGATTCTCGACTCCATGCTCTTAAGCCCCACTCCATGCTGCCTTTCCTTAGAGATTCAGCTCTGAGATCACTGTGCTCATTTTAACAGAGATAAGGTAACAGAGACAGAGGTTGTGTAATTGGCATGACTGGGACCAGGACCCACACCTGCTGGTCTAGAGTATTTTCTGCCACCCCCTCTGCTGCCTTTAGAAATTGAGGTTGGGATGGAACACCTCTTTATTGACTGAAGGAAGGAAGGGGATTCTTTAATTCTGCTGTCGCCTGTGATCTATGCACCAAATTGCCATGTTTGCTGGGTGTAAAACCATGACCTCTGCTGTCCTTGTTCACTGCCTGTGCCAGAAGACAGGGGACGAGCTCCTGGAGATGTCGCAGAAGATGGTAGGTGCATCTGTTCTCGTGGCCTCACAAGCCCCCGACACTGTAAACTTGGCGGTAGGCTTCATCATTTCAGCTGTCTCTTTGCCCCAGAAAAACTACCTGGGACAGTGTCTCACCTCTCAGGTGCAGTGTCAGCCTCTGGGTCTGAATGAGGGATTTCTTTTTTTCTTTTTCACTATGAAATATGTAAAATGTTAGCAAACTCCAAAAATAACTTAATGAAGAACTGTGTAATAATCCCCTAGCTCTATCAAAACTTACTATTATGCCATTCTTGTTTTCAGGTATATTTTTAAGAAACTAAACATTACATATTCCTGAGGTAACTACCATTTTGATACTAGGGATATTAAGAACAAAGATTTTCAGAAAGATTACCACAATTTATCTTGGCTAACTTAGAAACTACCTCAATAATAACCAGGGTGTCTCAGTTTTCTGGATTTTCTGAGACTCTGCCTCCATTGTGATTCTAGGATAACCGCACATCCATCCATTTATCATCTTATTTTCCATCTATCCATCCACCAATCTATGAAATTCATCAATATCATTTCATCAATTTAGTATCATTCTATCTATAATTTTCATTCATCTATTATCAATCATCCATGCATCATCCAAACACCATATATCTTCACTCCATCATCCATCCCTCTAAAGTCAATGATCCATCCATCACTGATATGCTAGTTGTCATCCTTCTATTCACTTATCCATCCAATTCACCCGTACTCCATGTATTAACAAACTCCATCCATCCACCCATTCATCCACCCATCCGTTCATCTGTGCTAAGTGTATGGGTGGGGAAACGGAGAGTTATGCAGACGTGAATTGGATACAGTCCCTGCTCACAAGGAACTATTTAAGGAGAAACACAATCATATATGTCATGGGTTAAGTGTAATGGGAATACAGAGAGGGGAAGCATTCATTATAGTCACAAGTGACTTCATTCACAGTGAAGATGACATTTGAGGATTGGTGGATGGCTATGGCAGTAGGTCATCGCAAAGACAGATGCCCAGAGAATACAGCATCTAGGGCTATAGAAACTATTACCTTTGTGAGGGAAGGGTGTGAATGCAAGTCCAGCTGTAACCTGAGCCCTGGGACTCTCTGTCTGGACCCTGGGCTCCTGAGGATACTCCTGGATGCGCAGGGAAAGGTCTCTAGCACTGAACTCTGCTCTATTTCCATGGATTGACTCCACTGTGGCCTTGGGGCTTGGATCCTGGTTTCCCAGGCACAAATAAGGTGACCAATGTGTTCAAAGAATTAAAACACCACTGTTTTCTGATGCCTGGAAAGAGGCAAATTTATTTCAGTAATTCTCCCTGTGGCACAAGAGGAACCAGCTTTTCAGGGGATAGTTGGTGACTTTGAGAAAACCCAGAGAACCTAAGGGCCCATATTATCCTTCTGAGATTGTCTGAGATCATGTGGAAGTGTTTCCATGATTATCCAATCTTCCCAATACACACACACACACACACACACACACACACACACACACCCTAAACACATGACTAGTAGGGCTACAACCCATAATAGAGGGACACTTACTGGTCACTTGCTGCATGCTGATCAGCCCTATTACCTACAGTGTAACATTACAATCAGTGTAATGTTGGTGAACACACAATATAGAGAAACGTAGGGTGGCGTGAATTTCCATGAGCTTGTATGACTCAGGACTTTCTAAAGCAAGATGAGAAAACTCATTTCAAAGTGCCTAGTAACTAACTGAAAACTAAACTACAGTTCAAGAGTAGATGGCTTCAGGCACAGCTGAATCCAGATGCACATATGATGCTATTAAGAATCTTCAGCTTTTTACCTCTCCATGTCGGCTTCACTCTTAGGCAGGTTTGTCTCCTGAGAAGCTAAAGACAACAACAGCACTCTAGACTTACATCCTATTGGCTTAGAAACCCTCTTTCCCAATAATTCCAGCAAAAATTTTGGGACAAACTCTATTGGACTGACATGGGCAGGTGCTCATTCCTGAACTAATCTCCATGGTCAGGGAGATGGGGCACAAGGTCACATACAGATGCCTGGATTCATGGAGTAAGAGTGGGGAAGAAGGAGGTCCCCAAAAGGAAAATTAGGGTGTTTTTAGCTGGGGGAAAGAAGAAAGGGAAATGGATGGAGGGCGGGACAGGCACAACCACACACATCCTCTCCAGAGCTCCCCTCCCCATCCTACACCCACACCCTGTGCTCAGACCCATGGGAGCCAGTGTCCAGCTTTTCTCCCAGGAAGCTTCTCACCCACATCCTCTGCCTTTGTCTTCACAGAAATTTCTCACTGTTGATTTATCTGGAGAACCCAGAGAGGTAAGGACCTTTGGTTTCTTGATTACAGGATTTAAGTCTTGGCATGTTAAGCTGAGGTTAAATATGAATGAAAGAATTCTCCCTGTGGACTCATGGTAACTCCCTGTGCTCATATTGCTGAAGCCCAGAGAGGGGAGATGACTTGTCTGGATAACACAGCCAGGAGGACCAGACATACGACTGAAACCCATTCTCCTGACTCCCAGTCCAGTGCTCCCAGTCCTCAACTCTGTGTCGTCACAGCCCAGCCTATCCCTTCTTCTTGTTTACATCTCTTGCTCCCAAAAATGGCCACAAGGGAGAAGGCTGGACAAGAAACTTCCACTATGGAGAGGTGGAGATAACTGGATGAGGGGTTTCCTCAGGAGTCTTCCTTGAGGAGCCCAGATCTTCTCCTGGAGGCTGCAGGGTTGATTATCTGTATATGCTGCACTGTCTGCAGGGCCGTCAGGAAGGGAGCCAAGAATCTCAGTCCTGAGGACACCGACCTCCTCCCAGCCACGCAGGAAACTCCAGCGGCTTCCTCTCCATCTCCTTCCTCCTCCCCTCTACCTTCCAAGGTGTTGCCAGATTCAGATGACAGTACCTCTTGAACGTCTACAATCCTGTCCCCTCTGCTCTCTCCCTGGGGATAGTAGCACTTACTTTGAAAGGTGTCTTGAGGATTAAATGAGATTCATTCCGTCATTTAGCAAAGATTTAATTAGCACCTACTGTGTGCCAGGACCTGATTCAGGAGCTGGGGATATAGCAGCGAAACAGGCAAAACAGACACTATGCCCTGCCCTCCTGGAGTGAGGGAAGAGTCAATAAACAGACAAGTAAAATACGTAGTGTGTGTGATGATGGTCAGCCTGAGGGAGAAAATTAATTGGGATATGGCTCTAGAGTTTGCTGATGGTGTGAATTTACATGGCAGGGTCGGGAATGGTCCATGAGAGGGTGACATTTGAGACGAGTTCTGGAGGAGGAGAGGAAGCCAGCCGTCAGGAACACTGCAGGAAGAGTGTTCCAGGAGGAGGGAAGAGCAACTGCAAAGGCCCTGAGGCAGGAGGCCAGCGTGGCTGGAGTGCAGGGAGTGAGGGATAGGTTGAGGCTGAAAAGAGAATGGGAGATGGAGTGTGGTCCTGTAAAGGACTTGGATTCTTACTCCAACTATGATGGGAAGTCTTGCGAGGGTTTTGAACAGAGTAATAACCTAACATTGGATTTTACAAAGGGGCTGTTTGACCACTGTGGTGAAACGGAAGGTAGAGAAGGGACAGGGCAGCGCAGATGCCACCAGCTGGGAACACTCTGGACTGCAATCATCCAGGCAGAGAATCATGGCAGCTTGGACTAGCCCAGAGCAGAGGGGGTGGTGAGTTGGGGTTGGCGCCTGGATATTCTTGAAGTGACAGCTGACAGGATTTGCTAGTGGACAGCGTGTGGGGTGTAAGGAAAAGAGAAGGAGTGAAGCAGGCCCCGGGGCCTTTGTCCTGAGCCAGGTGATGCACGAGGCCCACCCGGGGCAGCCACTGGCACCCACTCTGGACAGCGGCGACTCCTGCCATTCTCACGGGTGCTGGTGTCACTCAGCCCCCACTGGACGCAGCCCTGATCGGGCCCTCGTTGTCTCTCCTGGACTTTCACCATCTTCCACCTCTACTGTCCCTCCCACGCCCGTGCCCCACGGTGCTGTCAGACTCTCCCTTGTAGACCCAGGTCAGGGCGTGTCCCCCCTTCTTAAAAGGCTGACCTTCCTGAGAAGACAGACCCCCTCACCCCCATGGAGTTATCCTTCAAAACACATCTGAGTCCCTGCTCTGTGCAGACACTGTGCAGAGAATGTGCTGCACCATCTGCTGTCTCTAGTCAATGCCCCACAGCTTCCTCCAAGCCCAGGACTCTCGGGGTCTGAGGTTCCTGGGATTAGTGCTGCACAGTGAAACCTCTGTCTCTCTGTTCATGCTGTTCCCACTGTCTGGAACACTGTTCATTCCCCAGAGCCACTGCATATGGCAGACACCTCCTCCATGTGGCCTGTCCTGTGTCCTCCTTCCAGAAGGAGTTGATCCTCTAGCTGGGTTCCCACAACAACCCTTTCTGAACTGCAGAGCATTTTGAAGAGAGCAGTGGTGGCACTCACATCCTTTGTCCCTATCGTCAGCCATATTGCATTAGGATTTGGGCCTTTGTTCTGCTGAGTCAGATTCACTACTATGAACAGTGAGAACTGACTGTAGATAGAGAGATATATGAAGATATACAAACACTTCAAATTAAAATAAATATACATAGGTATGTATGTGTATATATCGCAATACTTAAATATAAATACATATATATTAATACATATATAAAGATATTTAAATATGTGTATATATTTTCCAATTTGAGGGAGACTTGCCCCCATCACCCTACTACTGCTACTCCTGTTCAAAGTTCTGCCCTCTAGGGCCACACGTACTTAGTCTCCTTTGTTGGGACCCTGAATTCTGTGGTTACCACCACAGCCACACAGGTCTATGGTACTGGCCTCTTGCTCAGACAGGTAGAGGGGGAGGCGGGAGTTTCCTTGAGAGGGGAAGCGCAGACACTATGCTCCCTCTTCCTCAGAGTCATCCCTTCCTGCCCGCTGTGGTTGATGGAGTGGTGCTGCCAAAGATGCCTGAAGAGATTCTGGCTGAAAAGACATTCAACACTGTTCCCTATACCGTCGAAATCAACAAGCAAGAGTTTGGCTGGTTTCTTCCAAGGGTGAGAATGTCAGGGCCTTTCAGACTCACCTCCCCTGCCCATCACATCACCGCTCCCATCTCTGCTCACAGGATCTCCTCCTTCTCCTGACCCCCCTCAGAGTCCAGGGCAACTGTCCTTTCCACACAAGTTGACATTTCCATGGAAACCTTCTCTGCAATGGCCCAACTGTCACCTGGGTGTGCTGTCCTGGGGTCACCTGTCCCCAAACTCTCTGTTCTCTATCCAGTAATCCTGAAATGTTGACACTGGGACAGCCTGTAGAGATAATCCCTGGGCAGTTGAGAAAACTGAGGCCTGGAAAGGGGAAGGAGCTGGGGAGTTAAGAGAGTGAGGCCTGGGGTCCTGCAGCCTCTCCCCTTGGGCAGGTGTTTTCATAGTTTCTCCATAAATCCCACACATGCTCCTAGTCATCTAACTGGAAAGATTCAGAGGAGCTTGCTTCCTCTTGAGTTAACATTGACTGCTAAAAGCTAGGAAGGGATTTCCCTTCTGCCAAAGAGAGACAAAACTGATATGAGTTAAGTGGTGAGGACAGGATTTATTCAGTTATACCACCGCAGTAGGGGAAAGACTCCAGTGTGAACTGCACTCCAGTTCGTGAAACTAAAGTCTGGAGCCTATTTAAAGTCTGGGTGTGCTCAGGGAAAGGCTGCGGGGTAGGAGGGGGTTTGTCCATGTGACTGGTCCACCTGGATTAGTTAATTGTTAATTGTTTCTCCAGAGGAGAAACAAACTCTCTTGTCGTTATGACAGGAGGCAGTGGTATAAATTGAAGCAAGATTTTCACTGAGTGTTAGGCCTTTATCCTCCCACAGGGACTGAGAGAGCAAGAGTCATCTCCTGAAGCTTTGCGTTTCAAATAGATGGAGCTCAGGTCGTTGAGGAAACAGTTTGGGGTGGTTGATTTACACGTCAAAGGACAGAGAAAGGATTTGTAATTGCAAGCTTTCTAAAGGAACTGCTCTGTGAGGGGGTTCAGTGATCCATCAACCTGTCACCAGGTTTTGGCTGAACAAACAGTAAATTCTCCTGGCAGCAGGGAGCTTTTTCAGGCAGGCAATGTAAGGGAAGCTGGGTCTTCCTAAACACAGGGCCTTAAGCTGCTAGAAGCCTTGTTAGAGTTTGGTCAAGTCTCTTAGTGCAGAGGTTTGGATGGAGTTATGTGCAGAGATCTGCAGTTCTCAGTTCAGAACAATTTCAGAGGTTATATTTGTCGATGCAAATGATCCATAACCAATCTATAAATCAAAATTGGGGTGAGTTTATTACGAGCCAAATCTGAGGACTAGCCTGGGGCCTTCCTTCCCCAAGGAAGGAAAGGCACGGAAGAAGTGGGGTGTATAGAGTGGTTATATACCATCTCAGAAAAAAGAGCATACTTCACATGTGATAGGAATGTCCCTTTTGCAATTGTCAGGAGATGCTTAGCTAGCACAGGATTTCACACAGCAATTGATGAACACAGCAGGTAGTAGGTCTGTGGTCCCAAGCTTAGCAGGTCAGCAATCAATCCCTAGCCTAGGGAAAGATGCCTATCCTTAAGGAAATGCAGATGTGGGGGAAGTTACATCTTTATCTTAAAGGGCATTGCTCTTTTCTTTGGGACATAGTAAATGCTTAAAGGAGATATACAATGCATGCTCAATAGCCATGTCAGGCCCTTTTGGAAAACAAGGTCAGGCCAAATTAGTCTTACACCAAACAGCTTCCTCATATACTCCAATATATCCTATTGCTTGTCACTTATATATCATACTGAAGGACCAAAGCCATAATAGCAGGATTTGAGGCTTCTGCAGTCAGCTGAGGCAGGGAGGGTATTTGTGAATCTGTGTCCTCTTCCCAGAGCCCTCCACTTCAACACTAGCCTGGCTTAAACCTTCCCTCTCTGTCTTGATGACCATTGTGGGGACTCTAGCCTGACATATATATGTACACATACATACTGCAAAGGACTGGGACAGCTTCTCTTAACATTTACTTTAATCTTTTTGCACTCCTTGAGTTTCTGGATATAATAAGTCCATTTGATTCATTGATTTTGCCCAACTCAGCAAAGACCCATGCCCATCAAGACACGCCAAGGTGACCTTCAGCTCGCACTGGTTTGGTCAGTTGGTCTGTTTAGTTTTTCTGGCTAATTCCCAATGATTCACAATTGCTTAATCATTGTTGTAACAGATGATGGGCTACCCACTCTCTGAAGGCAAGCTGGACAAGAAGACGCCCACGTCACTCTTGTGGAAGTCCTACCCCATGGCTGTAAGAGTTTAGGGAATCACAGGAACTGGCTGAGACCTAGAGAGGGGAGGAGCTTGCCCCAAATCACAACCCAATTAAATGGCAGAATGAAGGCTGGGGCCAGAGGGTTATACTCCCATTTTTCTACCTTTCTCACCCACCACCCAAGGTGGGGGGTGGTTGCACAGGAATCAAGAGGTTCACCATTAACACAAGGAGAGAAGCTGTGTCACTCACCAGAGGGTGGTGGTCACTTTCACTCTTGATCCATTTCAGAACATCCCTGAGGAACTGACTCCAGTGGCCACTGAGAAGTATTTAGGAGGGACAGACGACCCTGTCAAAGAGAAAGACCTGTTCCTGGATTTGATGGGAGATGTGATGTTTTGTGTCCCATCTGTGACCATGGCCCGTCTCCACAGAGGTGAGTCCCAGATGTTGGACAGGAAAGGGTCACTTTCACCACCAGCTTCGCTGTCTATCATGCCCACCCCTCAACGTAGACAGATATGTAGAAACTGATGAAAGTAGAGCCTACAAGGCTGATTCCATATGGCCTAGGGTGGGATGTTGTCCTATTTTGGTTTCTGCCAGAAGATGACTCTGAGAAAAGGATCTGAATGCAAGTAGTTTATTTGGGAGATGATCCCAGAAAATACCAGTAGAGGAGTGGAGAAGTGAGAGGGGAAGGAGAAGGAAGCCAATCCATGCTCCCTGTCAAGCGAGTATCCACCGTGGACACTGGAGGTGGGGAGTTCTGGGAAACCAGCAGAAGAGAGTCTCAGGGTTATCCTGAGTGAGAGGGATGGGAGCTCTGGTATTTATGCTCTAACTCCCATGAGTCATTGATGAAGACTGCTCTCAAGGAAATGTTAATGCTCTGGTGCTTTGACCTGCTGCCCATGTGGACAGGGTGGTCTCTGGTGGCCAAAGACCTCAGGCAAAGAGCTACAGATGCCAGAGATGGAAGTCAGGCTGGCATGCTGAGAAGTAGAGGATATGGTGAGGCAACCACAGCATCTGCTACAGGGACTCCTCACCTGAAATTTTTGCGGTGGTGGGGCTAGAGAGCAAATCTTAGAAGACGTGTCTTGGAAGGTTTCTAAGGTCCAGAGCTTCAAATTAATTTAGCTGCTGGAACTGGGGGTAGAGTGAAGCCAGGCAGAAAATCAGGAGGGCTGTCTGGGACCACGAAAGCCAAAAGAAATGAGTAGCGGGAGGTGAGAAGGCAAGTGGCCTGGGGAACGTCCACGTCTGCTGCTGGTTTTTGTCCATCCTGATGTGTGCTGTCAACCACGTGACTCTATGCTTTGACCCAAAGCTGTGTGGGTGGGGTGTGAGATCAGGGTGGATGAGCTCGCCTAGAGAGGAGGTGTCCTTTCTGGGTGCCCTTTTGAGGTCCTCACAGGACCCTTCCTTTTCTAGGAGCCCTCCTTCACCTAGTCTGCAAGCCAGGAAATGGTTCTCTGTTCTAGACGTCTCTCTTTAACTGTGTGGGAAGGGTTGTAAATTCAGGATGTTATAAGAATGATAAAAAGTATCTACAGCTGACCTACTATGTGCCCAAGCACTCAGGACAGTAATGTACAGGTGCTGGTTACCACTTCCTCCTCCCCAGATCCCTGATGAAATTCCTCAGCCAGGGGCCGCCTGGGGTCAAATCTGTTCTTTCATTAACTCGGCCTTGCCCCTTGCTGGGTGTCTGATTTGTGGTATCCCTTTCTGCGTCATCTCCTGGTCCAGCCACACTGGACTTGAATATTTTATCTGATATCACATGACTTTGAGTTCAGGGTCTTTTGACAGGACTACCCAGATTTTATCAACGTTATTCTTTCACTTTTGTGTTTGTTTCACTCTCTTCTTCATAAAAAAGATCTTCTCTGAATATAAAATTAATATATAATAATATATAATATCAGAGATGTAGAAAGTTTTGAAAATATGGGAACACATAAAGAAGAAATCAGATATCGCTCATAACTCCTCCACCTAGAGGTATCTGCTATAAATTTGTGATGTATTTTCTCCTAATAATCTTTTTGTTTCTTACATAGAATTTAAAAATTAAGATTATATTGTGTTTTTGTTCATAGAACACTATATTGTAGCATTTCCTCAATATCAATAAAAACTCATTGAAAACACCCATTATTTCATGGATTAAAATTTAGTTTGGAGCCAGCCTTGATGGCGTAGTAGTTAAAGTTGGGCGCACTCCACTTTGGCGGCCTGGGTTTGATTCTTGGGCATGGAACCATACCACTCATCTGTCCGTAGCCATGCTGTGGTGGCAGCTCACATAGAGCTAGAAGCACCTACCACTAGAACATACAACTAGTACTGGGGCTTTAGGGAGGAAAAAGAAAACAGGAAGATTGACAACAGATGTTAGTTCAGGGTGACTCTTTCCCAGCCAAAAAAATAAAAGTTCATATCTAAAAAAAAAAAATTATTTTAGTATTCTTGTCCTATTGGGTATTTAGGCTGGCTGCTCATATTTTGATGTGACAAAAAACATTATGCTCAACCTTGTTTGCATAATATTTAACCTAGTCTCTAATAATTTTCTTGGGATTGGTTTTTAGAAGTGAAATTACTAGGCTGGGACATAGGAGCGTTTTAAAGTTCTCGATGCAGAAGGTGAAATTGGTTTCCAGTATATGAGAGTGTGGATTTCTTAACCCTTTCACCTGAGATATTCAGATTAAAACATAAAAAATCATTCTGCCAATTTCATAAGCCCTTCTTCACCAAAAAAAAAAAAAAATCACTGTTTTAATTTGCATATTTTTGATTACTAGCTCTCTCTTTGACACCGCTTCTCTTGTTGTTCCTAATTGTTATTGTCCAAATCTGTGCCCTACTTAACTTGGAAGACTTGTGTTGTGATTGTAAGAATTTTATGGTGGTTTAAGGCAGTGGTTTAAGGCAGAAAGTTAAAAGAAAGGAAAAAAGAAGAATATCTTTTGGGCAGCATCGTGCCAAAAATAAGTTCTCTCATTTGCAAAAGGTCTTTCCTCTGTGGTTGTGTTCTGAACTCTTTTCCAAAACTTTTGAGTGAGAGAGACAAGATGAAACACCCTCCTTTCAGTGAGTTCTGCTTGACTTTGAAACAGCTGTTTAATAAGTGGATTAAGGAACCACAGAAGTATTGCTTCTTCCAAACAACTAGTCTTGCTAAACCAAGGGTGCAATGATGGGAGTGAGGGAGGAAATTAAATAAATTATTCTACTTCCTCATGTCAGGATGGAATATATTGTTAAATAATTTTGTGCATGAATATGTAATGATGGGAAGAAATGATTATAATCATTACAAGATAACATATACAACATGGTTCTAATTTTATATACATAAAAGGGACATGTGCTAAAATATTAACAGGTTTCTCTGAGTGGTGGGATTATAAGTGATCTTTTTGTTCATTTTCCTTTTTTATGCATTTTCTAAATTTGTTACTGTACCCAAGGGGTGAAAAAGTTGTAAAGTTTCTCCACCACCCTGACTTGGGACATGAACCTTAACTCCTCTGTGGGTCTTATGATCCACAGAAAGTGCTGATCTCCGTGGCCGGGTGGCCCAGGAGTTAGCCCTGAAGGAGCAGGGACGGCAGCTCTGGGGAAGCATCAGCAGGAAAGCTGACATCTGTGGGGCTTGGAGTGGAGGAGGTGAGAGAGGAGGCAGGGGAGGAGGAGAGGGGCAGGAGAGAGGTAACTTCCTCCTTCCTCAGCCCCTCTTCTCTCTTCACCACCTCAACACTCCCCAGGCCAAGCAAGAGGCAAGACATGTGAGGTGACAGAGAAATAGGAAAGGCTGGGTTTGTGGTTTCCTGAGACAGAAGAGACAGATTGTCCCCTTACTGCATACGTTTGTATTAAAATATTCATGCTTTCAGACCAGCAACGTGGATTTGCTTCACTCTTCTCAGAATAGTGAGATAAACAGTGGGAACACTCAAAACTGAGCAGGAGAGAAGACACCAATTGGGCTGCAGTGATTCTCCAAAGGAATGAAAACTAGCCTGTTATCAATGGAATACAGTAGTGTAAACTGTATGAATGTAGATGCTCCTGAGTATGAATGCATCAGTAGGCAAAGGGGTTTATGTGAATTGAACCAGTGTCCCTGTAATGATCGTTATTTTGAATGGATTTACCAAAGCTTTCAAAATTCATTCATTCATTCATTCATTCAACAAACAGCTGGCTCAAATCCAGTTCTCCCTCCAGCAGCTATGAGCCCAAGCAAGTCACGGAACTTTTCTGAAACACTATTTCTCTCTTATGCTGATATCCAGGGGTTTCCTGCAGGACAACACAGTGTCTAGCACACAGTTGGCACTTAAAATGGCAGCTGTTATTAATATTGTTGTTGTTGTGTACTCAGGACACAGATGTGCCACCAATTCCCTGAGTGTTCAGGTTTCCAGAGACCTTGATACCATCCAGGTGTGTGTCAGGTAAAATGAACTGTGCATGAATTCATGTCTTATCAGATGCCTGAGCCCCCACCTACACGTATGAGTTTCAGTATCGCCCAAGCTTCTCATCAGACATGAAACCCAAGACAGTGATAGGAGACCATGGAGATGAGCTCTTCTCAGTCTTCAGGCCCAGTTTCTAAAAGGTGATGGCCCTTTGGTGACTACAAACTTGGAATTAGGAGAGCTGGGTTCATGTCTTTGTTTGGTGGCTCCTTGTCAAGTTCCTCCTTTTCTCCAGGTCTTAGTTTCTAGAGTTCACCATAACAGAGTTGAATTACAAACATTCCCAACCTTTCTCTTGCTCTCACATGCGTGATGGAGAATGTGTATCCATCTGCCCTCATTCACGGTCGCTCTAAAGATCCAGGCCTGGCTGTCAATAAGGCAGCTGTGAGGTCACCTGTCAGGCCCTGCTCAAGGGCTAGGATGCCACCACCACTTCCACTCACAAGAGCATATCAGAATGTGAGTGAGAGTAAGGTTAGAATGGGTGTTGACCTTGAATCAGGGCTAATGTGTGTCTCTCTGAATATCTGCCCAACCATCTCTCTATCTTTCTAAGTCACATATCTTTTTAAACTTAATATATTTAACAATACAAAATTTTAAAGAAAACCTTTCACAGATGTCTTCAGTGCCTTAACTATGAACAGTTACAGGGGCTTGCGTGTGACCCACCTCAGGGCTATTTGTGACACTCCAGTGCCTCTAGGCTTTTCCTGGTTGGGTGACTCCTTAGCACCATTGCAGCTCAGTTATTTTCAGATTCTGTGTATATGTGGGTGGGTGAAGGAGATTGAGAAAAGACCCAAAGGAGAGCAATCTTGGGAGATGGGGTTGCTGTAGTGGAAACCCTGGAGTGTGGCAATGCCACCCTGAAGGGGAGTGGGGCAGGGCTGGTGGGCACCGAAGACAAAGACAGCCCACTCATGGATTGACTGCAGCCCTTCGCTGAGTCCTAGGTCAGTAACTCTCAAGCTTAAAGTGGACATACATTACCCAGGATCTTGTTAAAAGACAGGTTTTGACTCAGGGGGTCTGGGGTAAGGGATCAGATTCTAAATTTCCAACAAGCTCTCAAGTGGTGCTGCTGCTGCGGGCCCATGACCCACACTTTGAGTAGCAAAGGCTTTTTGTCTTCTTCCCCACAGAGGGTGCCTCAGAAGGGGAGCTCAAACTCAGCAGATGGTGATGAAATTCTGGGCCAACTTTCTCTCAATGGGTGAGCCTGATTGCAAAGATGCAACAAGGTTGGGAAGGGGTAGCTTCTAATGTTTGATGGTCAAACTCCTGGTCCTGTGACCTCTGATATAAGCACTCTCTAAAAATGGACAGGCTTCCAAGGAGATGGAAGCTCCTTGTCTCTGAAGTTATATGAACCTCTTGGCAGAGATAATGCCAAGGGGTCCCTGAAAATCTCAGAGAGTCGTTGGGACCACACAGTAGCTTTGGGAAATTTCCATTTGATTCTGTTCCCGGGAACCCCAGTGGGGAGGGGCTGCCCCATTGGCCAGCATATGACCAGAAGGAAGGGTACCTGCAGATTGGCATCACCACCCAGGCAGCCCAGAAGCTGAAAGACTAGGAAGTGGCTTTCTGGACCGAGCTCCTGGCCAAAGAGGCAGTGGAGAAGCAACATCAGACAGAATATGTTGAGTTCCGAATGGGTGGCCCAGATGGCCTCAGGGGCCTTGGGGAGCTAGTAAGGGGGTATTCGACAGATAGTGTTTATGGACCAAAGAGGCATCTTATTGTGGAGGCTGGGGATTTGTCTGGTGGGAGTAGGCAGGGGCCAGGGTGGGGGAATTTCTGTATATGTGGCCTCAATTTTGGGAGTAAATGTTCTTTTGGAGACCAAGTCAGTGTCTGTGTCTTGGGCTGGAGGTTAAGCCATCATCCTTAGAGAGAGAAGGATCAAGAGAGAGGGCACCATCAGCAGGAAGATGCCTCTGGCCGGTCTGGCTTAGCCTCTAGACCAAGCAGGGTGGGCCCTGGGAGATGTCAATGGGGACTCTGCATCTGTTCGATATCTCTGGGCCCTCAACAACTTCCAACAACAGGATGTGGGCTGGCCAGCGTGTAATGTCCCTCTCCTCCATGTGGAGCTAAATATAGAGATGGAGGTAGTACAGATTGCGGATGTACCTGGAGTAGGAGAGAGGGAGAGGTGCTCTCGTGACCCTGTGGCACTGTCGTGTGGCCCTTACTCACACTTCCACAGGTCACCAATTCTTTATTCAACATGCACAGTGTCCTCCCAGGTCCTTCCCTGAGGCTGTCTCTTCCAGCAACTCATCTGAGCCCCCTCTGCAGCCTGCACCACTTCAGGTCCAAGCAGTGACCAGTTTGGAGTGAGTCCCTGAAGTGTCACCCTAAAACTGCCTCTTTCAGAATCCCTGGGGTGACTTCTGGGTTCTGCTGGGTTGTAGAAAGCTCTAGGGAGTCTCACTCCCACCCTAACAGCAATAAAAAGCCGGATCATCCTCAAAATCATGACTTTACTGAACCATTCAAGGAGCTGAGGTTGCGGGTGAACAATTCCCCTGAAGTCTCAGGAAGACATACACTTTGGAAAAGAGATGGGATGTGGAGGCTGACTTATTGTCCGCTACAAGCGGAAGATGGGGTCACCACAGGGGTGAGTAGAATTACCGTAAAATTTCTAATCAAGTGCTAAAGGCCAAGTGCGGGCTAGTAGGAGGGTATAAAATCCTCAGGGGCCACAGACCCATGGGGGAGATTACACAGACTCTTCTCCATGGACCTCCATCAGGGGCTCCTGAGAAAGATGGGGAGCAGGAGTAAGACCAGAGAAAACCTGCCTCAGGGGTGCAGGCATGAAGCCCTGGTCAGACGCTTCTCCATTAAGAAACAAAATCCCTAAACCTTTGAGAAAAGGGCAGCAAACCCACCTCCCTCGGGATCCTGGGGAAGACTACTTGACACTGAGGAAAAGAAAAATTTAAAAACCCTCGGCCCCTGGGATTGGGACAGGAGACTGTCCTGAATCCTGGCCATTAGAGGTATTTTACTGCTGGGCAGGGGCAGAATCACTGAGAAAGTCCCCTCTCCATGACCAAGGGACACAGGGTCTGCCTAAGGCTGAGGCTGGACCAGGACAGGAGAAACCACTCCTGGATGCGCCCTCGAGTTAGCACACACCAAGTACTGCAGAGCGTAAATGTACCAATAGGGGAGGGGAAAGTGTGGACAGAGATCTCTCTGAGGGGCAGGGGCACAGGGCAGGGCTAAAGCTGAGGGTGGAACAGGAACATTCGGGGAAAACAGCAAGCGAGCCTTTGCCCAAAGCACAAGGTAACATTAGATTTTTGAAGCAGCTGGTTCACTGAAGATAACCATAGCAACAATGAAACCCAAGCCTTGCCTGACTCCTGATAAGTTAACTCAATTCTCCCAACACACACACACACACACACACACACACACACACACCTGTACACACACACACACATTATCAGTCTAGCAGAAGAAGAGGCATGCCCATTTCCAGTCATAAATATTATTTACTTCAGTTTCTATTCACCTACACATGCTGCTGAGGGGGACTCTGGATCCTTCATCCAAAATTACAAACACACAAAAGCAAAAAAAAAAAAACTCCCACTAACAAAGTTAGGGAAAATCCAATCGATAGAACTAGAGTCAGAGATAGCCCAGTTGTTAGAACTACCAGACTACAAATCTAAAACAAGTACATGGAAAACTTACGAACAGATGGGTAATTTCAGCAGAGAGATAGAAATGGAAATGTTAGAAATTTTTTTAGACTAGTAGCAGAGATGAGGAACACCTCCAATGGGTTGATCAGTACACTTGACACGGCTGAGGAAAGATTGAGTGAACTTGAAGAGACGTCAATATAAATTACCCAACTTAAATAAAAAGAGAAAAAGGAGTGGGGAAAAAAAAACAGTACAGAGGATCTAAGGGATGTGGGACAATATGTCATGGTCCAACATACGCATAACTGGAATCCCAGAAGGAGAATAGAAAAAGAATAAGCAGAAAAAACATTTGTAAAGATAATGGCTGAGAATTTTCCAAAATTAATTAAACACATCAAAGCATAAAGCAAAGAAGATCAGAAAACCCCAAGCAGGATTAAACAACAACATACATGTCTAGACACACAATGAGAAAATATTGAAGGCAACCAGAGGAAAAAGACGTGACATGACATAGAAGGGCACCAGGAAGGACACTTGACCACCCCTACATGTGGACAAAGGGAGGCCCAGAGAGGGGAAGGAACAGGCTCAAAGTCATCCAGAGGACATTGAGAAACTACTGGAGACAAACTGAGGCCTCCTTGCCTCAAAGCGGGGGTCTTTCAGCTGCACTGTCTGGCCACTCCCAGACTGACCCCCTCCACACAGGAATGGCCTTTCCCTCTTGACCACACTCTCCACTCCTTGTCCCTCTGCATCTGCCTACAGCTGCTCCCCCTCCTTGCCCAGCTCCAGGGTGTGAAACTGACTCTGTCAAACACACATTTCTCCCCACCTGGGCAGCTGTAAGAGACCTGAGGCTTTGTAAGTTCCATCATGGACATTTTTCTTGAAAAATATGACTAACTAATCTTTGCGGGAAATGGTGGCATGAGCTGGTATCTCTTGTAGACCAAATCCTGACCTAAAATAGAGACAGGCCAAGCAGAAAAAGAAAGGAGAAGAAAACTTGAAAAAGAAAGACAAGAGATGAAAAAATGCAGGAAGGACTAAAGAAGCAAAACCTGCAGTGGCTGAAAGAAATCCATTAGATAAGAGTTTCTCCAACCTGGCTGCCCATTGGAATCACCTGCACAGCTTTTAAAAAATGCCATTGCCCAGACCCCATCCTGATTCTGATGCCTTTCATCTGGGGAGATGCCTGGGCATAAGGACTTTTTAAAAGCTCCCTTGGTGAAGATGGTGTGCAGGCAGAGCTGAGAACCACTGATCTGCTCAGTTTGTTCCTGAAGGCATAGACCCTTTCTATAAGTCTCTGCATATCCAGGGCCCTGCACAGGGGGTGTGCTGAATGCATGCATGCATGCACGGCTGAATGCATGAGCAGGTGAGTAAAGGAGTTGTTTGCCAGTTCCTGGAGATTGCAAAAAATGTAGGCCTACCCAGGATTTCTTTAGTGGGTGGGGGTTTGTGGTAAGAATGCAGGAAACAAGAAGGAAAGCAGCTCATTGACTAGGCCTTGTGGAGACAGGAATGTTGTCTGGGAGATGAACCTGAGGAACCTATGACAACAGGGTCATTGTGTCAATTCCCCTGCAGTGGCCCCCACCACCCGCTGACCTGGACATCCCCCTTCATGGCCACTCAGCCCCTCGGATCCTCTGCTTCTACAGCTCCTGCCAATGTCCTCTGGGTCTGTTTGCTCAGGGCTTCTGCTCACTGTCACCTTGCATTACACTCTGTCCCCTCTCCTGACCTCGGGCTTTCTCTGCACAGTTTTAGTTCAAACTTCCTGAGAGAGGAGGTCTGATGGGTTGTCTCAGTCACCCTCCAGTAGAGATCCTCCCTGACCAGGGTGTGGATCCACCCACTAGTCCTTCTTGGTCTGGGGCCTGCCCTGGACTGCTCAGCTGTGCCCACACCCATGGGGTCCAGCAGAGCAACCCACATCTCACCCTTCAGAAGGGCACTGTGGGAAGGGCAGCCTTCTGAAGTTGGTCCCTCGTAACTGCAGGCCCTGCCCAGAGCTTCACCTGGTCGGTTCAGGAGGTGAGAGGCTAATAAGGGAGTGGACAGTTAGCCCAGGATCAGCAAACGGGGTCCTGTCCATTCAGTCCTTGTGGCCATGAAGTCATTTGTGCTCGTCTGTATATTGGTGCCAGGAATAAATACGAAGGCAAGGAAGCTAGTGACCAGAGGATTTCCTGTTAGACTGTGGGCTCTTTGGGGTCAGAACCAAGGTCAGATTCATTCTTATGGTACCCTAGCAAGTGCTTGGCAATGTGTCTAGATGGATGGACTGATAGATGGCCACGCCAATGGATCTTTACAAGATGGAAGTGGACATCAGCCTTCAGTGACTTGTTGATTACATCTTTGAAAAATATAATAACAATAGTAACTAAAAGATATTGAATATTTATTATGTGTCTTCATAATAAAGTACTTTTCATTTTAATTCAAATAATCTTCACAGCAACTCTATGAGGTTAACACAAGACCCAAATAAACTCAACTAGTAAGTGACAGACGGGACCAGCTAGATAATTAGTTAGGCAAAATAAAAATGTGTAGTTTGCATTATTTTGTTGTGCAGAATAAAAATAATCCTTCATTTTAAAAATTATTAAGAGTTTTAAGATGACGGCAGCAGAGCTGTCCGTGGAGGCTAAAGGCTGTCAGAGATCCGGGCTCTGTGTGACTGCACAGGTCTCATGCCCATGAAGCCGGCCCTGGTGACAGAGCTGGATATGAACCTCTGTAGTCTGGCTTCAGAGCCTGAGTACTTAAGTACAAAGCAGTCCTTCCTCATACACAGGACAGTGTTTAGAATCCATGTCTGGGCCTGTCCTCGTCTCCAGCTGCATCTCTTGAATCTGGCCAAAGACACCCATTTGGCTGGCGACTCTTTCTGCCCTCTGGTGGGCAGTGTCCATCCAGCCACACCTGCTTAAGGGATGAAGCCAGGACTGCAACATGAGGATAAGACTCACTACCAAGACTCAGTGTGGTGACAATGCCTGAGTTGACACATCCAGACTCAGCATTCAGACTGGTCCCTCCGCCCTTGCAGCCTCTAGATCCTATCCATGCATTGGTGCTTGGGTGGGATGTTCCCAAGTCTTATTCCTCCTTCAAACTGAGATTAAATGCCTTCTGGCCCAGGTGGTCTCTCCAGTCTCCAACACAGAACTAATCCAGGTCCCGGCACCTC